TGCCAAGGTTAAGAATTCATGAAGCTTTACCTCTGCTTCTCCATATGTCTTGATGGTGTAGTGCTTAAGTAAGAACAGGAACAACTTTTCCTTTTTATCTGTTACCTTTTATGGTCACTGATTAAAATTTTGTACTGCAATGTTCTAAAAGTGAAGCAATATGCTCTCTATCAGAACTTCTTACCTGATTATTGTAGTAAGTATGTAAGACTTACACTTTGTTCAACACTGTGGTTCACTGAAAGAGGAATGATATTTAATGTGGTCTCTCATTACAGGTTCTATCCCTGAATCCCTATTTCAGTATGAATAGTTATGAATAGTTTTGTGTAATATATTAGTAAGTGCAGAAACCTTGCACAGGTATCCTCTTGGCTTAAACAATACTAGCCTTCCCACGCAGGGTCACATAGCCAAAAATCTGTTCTTTCACTGCCTTTAATTTTCACTGTAGCCATTTCATTTTTATTTTAGGCAAATAATTTTGATATTTTTTAGTGTCCAGTAAAGAAATTAAATTGAAAAAAATGTAACATAGCTTGTTATTGTGAACTCTGTGGAAGTTGAAATTACATAAGTTGGGGATACCTGTGATTGCTAAGGAAAATATATCTTTTATTTGCTTGAAAAATATGAATTATATGTTTCACAGTTACTTTCATGTTTCATATATGTGGGAACAGTACAAGGGATTATGTGAAAGGAACTGATGAGATAATCTGTATATTATAGTCCCAGGGATAAATGATCATCATTACTGTGTAAAAATAATCTTTTCCAGAAGGCCAACAAATAAAATACACAAAAACAATATCACTCTATGTGCCATGAAGAAAAGCTTCTTATATATGTTTTTTTAATAATATAAGATGAAATGCTTTCAGTTTTACTGTCACATAAATGTAGGTACTGTATCCTAAATGCAGATTGTCTTAAAAGTAATTTACCTGATTTAAGTTCCTACATGCTGCTGCTAGTTCATTATTATGTATTAGTTGACAGAAGGTGTCAAGATAGTGCTGACAATATTTTTCCTACCTCTGCAATTTGATAGAAAATCTGGATGAGTAAAGAAGTGAACCGTGACCAAACTGATCCCAGTAATCTTATGGCACAGGGCATGTATGGGTTTGGGCTGCCTGTACACTGGACTTTGGACTTAAATTCTGGACCATGAAATTTTCTCCATGTTCACTGTGTTCTGTAAAGGTAGAATCTTTAGGATGGGCTGATATATTATCTGTGGTGAATCTGCAATATTTGAATCAATAAAGTGATTTTCTGTGAATTGATGGCCATGATTTAATTCTTGACAGGGACAAAGCTTGCAGAGCCTCCTGTTCTATGGTTACTAAGTTTCTGTTATTAGAGGAGGCCAGGACTTGAATCAGACTTTACCACCAATGATCCTAATTGCATCTTTTGTTTGGGATTTTAGCAATAAAGCTGGCAATTAATAAATTTTAATATTAGGTGGTAGCTACTGGTCTTCTATCTCTGCATTAAATTCAGTTAGTATTAGTATTAGTATTAGGTACATGGACATCGCCATATAGGAGGTTATCAAATGAGAGCTACATTCCAGCCTCACAAACAGAAAACCTCAGATTTGACATATTAAGTTGTCCATGCTGTGAAGGAGGAGGAAAAGCATCCTAAGGTAACAAAGGAGCTCCAAAGGAACAATTTTGGTCTTTAGAATTTCTTTTCTGTACCTCAGGCCACCTCTGTTTTAATTCTAGTGCATCGCTTTATAAATTCAGTTCAATGCAATTCACATCTTGCATCCCATTCAAAAACAAACACTAGTGAAGATAACTCTCTTCTGATATGTAACATAGTGTATTCTGGTAGAAGTTTACTGACATCTCAGAGGAACATGCTGCCTTGGTCTTCAGTATAGAAAATGTTCTTGGTGTTTACATAAGTTTTGCCTTGTGACCAAATACAGGACAAAACTTTCTTAGCATATGGCACAGGCGATTTTTCCAGACAATGTTGTGATGGTGAAGCAAGTGGTGGGTAGAGCTGGTCAGTCATGACCATTCTGCTGTTTGTTTAAGGATACATTGAGCTTCACTGTACCAATGTCAACAGCAAATCATCAGAAAATTATGTTGATATTTTCAGCTTGCACAGTACATGTGGGCAGGCCTTGGTAATTACCTCACCATTTCTTTGTTGAAAGACAGCACAACAGCTCTCATAAGTATAGATATGCATCTCCATCCCAAATTTCTTTATCTTACTAATGATGGAGGCTATAAATTACACCTAAATACTGGAAAGTCCTTTGGACACCACTGTAATCCAAATAATATATCAGCTCTATGACTGTCTTACCTTCCCTGAATGCTGTACTGAATATGTACGTAGTTTTGTCTTTTTCTGCATACAAACATTTGTGTAAAATATAGAAAGAACTCAGGTTAGGTATGGTAATTGCGATTAATGAAGTTATCATTGCTATGTATACAAGAGGCTGTATGATTTATTTGTAAAACATTTTATAGTAGAGCACTGATATGTTTGTTGTTGTAATTAGTAAATATAGTGAGAAATTTGTCATTATAGCAATTTGAATATGAGAGTCTTCATAAGAATTAATAGAAAGCAGGTCAGTAAATAAATACAGTTGAATTTAAGAAATAAATTTACCTTTTTATGTGATTTACATTGAGACAATTAACATTACAGTACACATTTACATTTACGGTCTCAACACTGAATACAAAGTATTCATTCCTCACATATTTCCAACTTCCTTTAACTGTTATTGTATTTATACCTTCTCATCACTGACTTAAAACTTTTGTCTTTTCCAGATATTGTAGTATTTGAATTGTATAGTGTGGTCCATCTTGTTAGATACTTAACATGTTCAGTTCTGTGCCCACATAATGAGATTTTAACTTCTGAGCCAGCCATTTTTCAATGAAAACACTATTTTGAACTTACTATATTCAGAACAGAAATGGAAGAGGCCAAGGTGTTGTATATATCAACTCATTCAATCTGTGGCAAGCTACTTTCAATATTTATTAGTTTAACTTCATCTTAGTGACATCTATAGAAGAAAATTACATTTATCTACACAATGGCAATAGCTCTCTAGTTGATGGGAATTGACACTGGCATATGGTAAACTTCAACCTGCCAGGCACAATAGTATCAATTGCAAATCTTATACACTTTCCATATAATTTTTACCAAGTTTGATTCAAAAGAGTCATTCTCATTCTACTTGTTTGAACTGTACATTTTTCAATTGTTAAATAATAAATTAATAATTAATAAATTAAAGTCTTTGCATAGAACATATGTAAATGGATTAATGAATATTAGATCACAGGATATCATAGAATATTGTAACATGTCTGGAGTAGATACTTCCATGGTAATGCAATAACAGTGGGCCATTGCGTAGGAATTGCAGAAACAACGAACGCGTTTCCCTGGAGATGAACAACAGAAGGCTGTTGAGTAACAACAGATGAGACAGAACTCATTACCAGTGTATAAAGAACGTTCCCGAAGTAACGGATTGCCGAACACTTGAGACCGAACCTTGGCGAGAGGTGTCCTCTACTGAGTCCGCAGAACACCTACATAAGCCAAGAGCTACAGACAGCAACACACACAGTTGGAACCTAGTTGCCATACAACACAGTTGGAACCTAGTCACCATACAAGACAGTTGAAAGATAGCCACCACAGAATACAGTTGAAGTGATAACAATTATAGGGTGTGTAAGATTGAGTCTCCAATAAAGATTCACTAAATCCGAGGCCCACGTAAAGTTATTTGTCATGTGACACACCCAACACGTGACAATATGATATGATATGATTTACTCATGACAATAAATGACATTATTTAGAATAAATATATAGCCTTTTAACAATAATTTTGTTTTGTTTTATATTCCCTCCCTTGAAAAGTTCGGTGCAAGTGTCAGAATGTTTCATACAAAAACAAAGATTATTATATTATAATTATATGAAGTTGTACAAAATGAGAAGGCATCATATTTCTTGAGAGAACAAGAGGTTCTTGATCCATGTTGTATGTAGGTTATGTTGAATATTTGGGTGTATGTGAAATATGTTTATTTTAACCAGAGATTGAAATTGGAATAACTCTTCTCTGGAGGGGAATATTACCATTAAACTCTTGAGGTATTAGTTTTCAGCAAAATGCACTCCCATATTTTGAAACATTCAAGCTCAGACTTAAAGTTACATTTTGATGCTCATAGCTGTTCTTAGTAGGATGGAAAGCCATACTTGTTGGCCCAGAATAGTGATTCTTAATGTTTTACATCTTACATCTGACCAATCATGGTAAGAAAACCAAAGTTCCCCCCCCCCACCGCCGCCTAAAAAGTGTATGTTTACAGTTGCATTCATTTTAGTATTGTATTAATCATTAATTTAAATTCTTATGAACTTCAAGATTATAACAGTTCTTGGTAGTATGTGTTATTACTATAATTATATAAAAGCAGCATAGTTCTACAGCAGTAACCTTGAGCAACTGTACTGAAGTGTTTTCAAGGAATTTTACAGGAAAACAGTCTACAGCAGAGAAATAAAGCTTCCATGAATGCAAGAATAATATGAAACATATAAATACACTGTGTGGGCAAAGTGCACAAAGTTTTGTTATTAAAGTAGTTGGTTCATAGTATAGTTGCCATTGTGGTTTAAAGGGTTGTACAAGTATGAAGATGGGAATTATTTTTAATCTGTATTACTTACCACAATTAAAGTGTTGTATAATTTATCAGCTGCAGTTTGTAGCAAGCTTTGACACTTACCATATTTTGTGGGCTGTAAGACACACCAGGGTATATGACTTTAGAGGGAGAAGTTATGAAAAGACCAGCTGTACCTTCAGACTGTAAGGTACAACCGATTTTAGGGCAGGAATTAAAATGTGTTTTATATTCTGGAAAATATGTAAGTCACTTTAGATAATAGTGACAATATAGTTAATGCTTTAACAATGTTAACATTACAGTGATGTATGATATTGGTTCATGTTAAACAACATTAACATTGTTTTTCCTTCTTGCAGACAGAGGAATAATGGACACGGAAGGCAGTTGGAGAGATGAGTTAATGAGTAACACATCAACTCTTCAGCATGTAATTCCTAGCAGTGAGAGTGGTAACCACAGCAACTTCCATTGCAGTCACTGTGGAAAAAAATACCTGCATAAGAAAACGCTGCGACGCCACATGCTTTATGACTGTGGAACAAGACCTAGATTTTCTTGTTCCATGTGTGGTTTGAGAGTTCGCCGGAGATATACACTCACAAGGCATCTAGTGGCAGTGCATTGTGTTCAGAGACATGAAGCTGAGTGTAGCGTGCCATCAGTGTTCCGTAGGAAGAGGAAGCTAACTCACTTTCTGTGAGACGAAGTTATGTTACCGGATTCATAGTCAGTGTTACTGTCAGTTACTTGTCATTCATGTGTAAGTAATTTCAACTGACCTGGTAATTTTGAATTTGAGGTCCCTACAGCAATGTCTGTGAAGTGTACATTCCTGGGGGTTGTAGCACCACGTGGTTCAAAGAAAGCCAGACATTTCAGAGGAATATAACACCTTCATTTTCAGGACCTGATAATAAGCCAAGTAACAAACCAGTGAGATGCAGGCTGCCCTCTTTTTGTTTGTTTCTTGCTTGGCTTACTCTTTGACTGTGAAGATGGAGGCAATAAATTCCTCCAAAATGTCAGGCCTTCTCCAGACTGCAGTGCTACAACCTAGAAGACTCTACTCATGATACTATGATGTTTTTGCTGACAAGTCACAGCTGGAGATGGAAGATATGGAATGATCTTAACATAACCTACAATTGTTCAGCAAGAAATATTATTTTCTTTAGATAATTTTATTTTATTTTGCCATATACATTCATGCTATAAAAATTTAAGTGTTAATGGATGCGTACAGAATTTACTCTTGCAGTTTATTTTTCCTTACTGAAATATCAGAATTGGTTGTCATAATTTATACTTGTCTCAAGTCCAAAGATAAGTGTAAATATGCAGCACCCTCTCTTAATTTGTTTTTCAAAATGTTTTCCAAATAAATCATATAAAATTGGTGGTAGAGGTTGTTATATGATATTCAGACAGTGTATACAGTAGCAGTTAGTAATGCCCAGCTGTTATTTATATTGTACTAAAAGCTATCTAGTACAAAATGCTTTCAAATCCCACCTTACCATAATATATTCTCATCTTATTCCCACACAGGTATAGAATATTGTGTGTACGTTGTGTGCATCCCCACAACGAATGGTGTATTTTTTTAAAGTAAAATAACTTTATAGTACAGAGTTACTGAAGGACTCATATACTCAAAGCAGTAACCAACTGAGCAATTTCATCATCATCATCACCACCACCACTACTACCCTCATCATAGTCACAATCAGCACTATCAGTAAGGGAACTGGTACATTTTTTGACCCATTCTAACCTCATTTGTGCACTAGTATGTTCATAGACATATCCTTGTTTATTAATTAATTATGCTTGTAATTATTTAAGTGTTTAGAAAGTCAGTTGTATTTCTGGTTTATCTTTTGCTTTTGTTGTCCAGCGTCACTCCCATATAAGTGGCCATAAGGCTAGAATATAGTCAGTTTTTATAATTTTATTTTTAATATTTGAGCAATTTAAAGATATAAACTGTATATTACAGACAGTAAACCCTTACCCAATGTGGATTTGCTTACACTGCAAAAGAGAATGGAAATGGCTGTTTTCCAATCGCAAAAAATTATAATAAATGCAGTCTGCCCCTGGCAGCCATGGCTTTGAGATATTGTAGTTCACTTATCCTAATGCTGAAGTAACATTTTTACTTCCTAAGATAACATTGATCCTGCATCTACAAACCAAGAAGTTATCAAGACGTTTAAGTGTTCTAAGAGTTCAAATGATTGCAGATATGCAGTCCTGGAATACATTATGGTGTTTTTGTTGACATAAAAAGGTATAGCTTGAGCCATTCATTTTTGTGTCTCTAAAAATGTGTGTGTTATAATTGTGGAATTTATGTGAATACATTCATATGTCCCTATTAACCCATAATGTATTAATTTTGTCCAGTGCGTATTTGTCTAACACTACATTCATGAGGAACCTAATCCCTGTGTTGGACAAGGGTTTACTGTATCTACACCACGAATATATATTGACATTGTTTATCTTTCTTACAGATATTGGATCAGTGGACATGGAGGACAGTTGGAGAGATGAGTTAACAGGCGATATGATGCCACTTTGGCTTGAAATGCCAAATGATGGCGATGGTGGTGATTCCAGCAATTTCCCGTGCAATCGCTGTGGGAAACAGTACCTGCGCAAAAGAACTCTTCAGCGTCATATGCGATATGACTGTGGAACTGAACCAAAATTTTCTTGTTCTATGTGTGGACTGAAAGTTCGCCGGAGGTACACTCTCACAAGCCATTTGGCAGCGGTGCATGGTATTGAGAGAAATCAGGCAGAGTACAGTGTACCATTACTGTTCGGTCAGGAGAGGGAGCCAGCACTCCACTAACTCAGTTTCTGAGACCCCGAAACTGGTATCATTACTAAAATCCATAATGATCATTATTGTACAGATCTCTTCAAGTAGACAAGAGACATAATTACATCTTATATTCGCTGTTTATCCTGATAATTGTATGACACCCATAAATATATAATTTGTGAGCAAAATGGTAAGTTTACTTATGTTAAAGTACATGGTACATATAGCAGTCACAATGCTTTAAACCTTATAAGCATGAAATTCGTCAAGATCATATTTACTCGTAAGAATTCAGTTCCCACCTCATAAGAAATTCCACTGCTTGTGTACCTCCATTATAGAGACAATTGTTAATGCAGTTTAGGGAAATAATTGTTTCTTATTCCAAGAATCATATGTGAGCCATAAACACGCATGAAGGGCATAGTATAGTGGTGCTCATGTTTTATCGTCCTAAGTTATTAACTCAAAATTCTCAACACTTTCTGCTTCATATGTGTGCTAAGCTGCCTCTTCTCACCTTCTCTGTTCAAGTAAGACTGTTACATTTTATAGGCACAGTCTAGAATAGGGTGGAGTCTTGATGTTTCTATGGAATGAGAGATCCCTCCCACTCAGCTGCCATGACAGTGTAATATCCACTATGAGTTAAAGGATTAAATTATGAGTTTTTGAACTTAGTTTTTCAGTGTAATATTATTGAGTAGTAATGCTGCTATAACTCCATCATCTTTTCTTTCTTGATATTTTTACCCGTTCTCAGTTTTTATACTCAGTAACTGTAGATTATTTCAGTTCTCTAAAATCAAGCTTATTTTTATTGCAACACCAAACTTTAAATGCTTCATGGGTGACTTACCCTTGAACTGAATTTAATATTCCACAGTAACATCACTTACCTGGTGCTTCATGGAACAGTCCTATTATATGAGCCTCACAACTTAATAAACTAAATAAGAAAGAATAGCCTTGTCTGTGAGGTTAAGTTGTTGCAAGGAAACCTGCTTGCAGAAAGGTTAATATTTATGATGTTTTGAGAATTGTCTTGGTCACATCTTTGGGTAATTGATTGTGATTGTACTAACAGATATTTTTATTTGTTTCTATTAGTCAAAGTGTTCAGGTTCATTAAATATAGCTGTACATCCTAAAACATAAACTTACAGAAGTATAATACTGAACCTGTGTTCACAGCAATTGCCATGGAAATCATATTTACCGTTTCAGACTTTGAAAATATGTCATACTTCCAGCAGGCAACCTTACAGAAGAAACATCATGTGTGTTCAACAAAATCTCTGCTATAGCAATTTCATTTTTCATCATATGTTGAAAATAGGATTAGTAACTGATGACACAATTATCTCCATCACTATTTCATAATGACACATTCTCAAAGATGTTTCAGACACAGAATATTCTGTGAGAGGTATGAAATTTGGGCACTAACATTATTTAATAACCTGTAGGTGATGTTTTTCTACACATGAGAAATATCTGCCCCTCTCCGCAAAGGGAGGTTATGTAAATTGTTAAATGATGTAAATGTGTAAGTGTAGTAATAAGGAGAAGACATGTGATAAATGGTACATGTCATGTAAAACATGTTATGTCAATAAAGGAACAAATGTGAATACTGTGTACCATAAACATCCAGATGGAATGGAAGATGATGTTGGATTTCATAATTTTCATTTTTTATTCTTGTGAATGTGACTTCTAATCACAGTGTAAAGGTCTAGTTCCAATGCAGCTAGGTGCTGTCTTTTACCTTTCTGGTCTCCATCTGCTTCAAGGCTGAAAGGACCTATCACTGAGGCAGGCGTGGTCAGAGAGTGAAATTCCATGTGTGACCTTGGTTTACATTTAAGGTTTCCGTTGAACCTAGACCTATGGCAACCACAGTTCTGTTGTTTTGTTTTTTTAACTTCCAATGTACTGGTTCTGTTTACACCAGCTGATACTGGTATTTCTATTGAATATATTCATGCCATACTTAATGTACCTGGGGGCACGTAGTAGTGTAGTTGGCTGAGACACTATGTTACAAGCCAGAAGGTCATAAGTTCGATTTCCAACGAGGTCATTTGATTTTTCAATTGACCTAATCCTTTCAGCCGCACTATGGCCCTGGGGTCGACTCACCCTCAAACAGAAATGAGTATCAGGAATCTTCCTGGGAATAAAGGGTGGCCAGCACATAAGACAGGCAACCTCACCTCCATCCATGAACCAATTGTCTAGAAAATGTGGGATCCTCAGCATATCACAGCCTTATGGGCCTCTGCTGCCTGTTACAGGGATAGCTTTACCTTACTTGACATATTTGGGCTATGGGGACTGATGTAAACAATTCACATTCCTGTGTAACACCTTAACACCATCTTGATGTGCCATAAAATCCAAATTTATTCCCACATTTAGTTAATTCTGATTTAATGTCACTGTGGTAGAAACAACAAGTGATTGTTCTGTCCAGTGGAAATCTTTCCCATATGACCATTGTGTTTTCATATGTCATTACTCACATTAGGAATTAATTTGATATTATTGATTGTGTAATTATATTGAAATGTGTAGAAACAGTTTCTTTGAGTACACATGTAAAGAAATGATTTTGTGAGAATTTTATATAGTAATTATTGTGAGATATAGATGCACATCTAGGCAACGACTCGGTAAACACATTCCCACAGCAATGAATGTACAGGCAACAACTGGATAACTTCTATTGCTATGCAACACACTGTAAATGCAACAACAGAGGAGGAAATGTTTTCAATGTGGTTCGCTAATATCCATTGCTGAGCAATGGATGTGTTTTCTGTTAGTTTTCCTCGAGGCTATATAAGTAGTACAGAACCAAATTGAGAGAGTGAGAGAGAGAGAGAATAGGAATGAGAATGGAGTGAATCTTAGGCAGTCATCTATTGTGAGTACAAGTGATTGTACAAGCAGGTGTTAATAATACACGTGGCATTATTATAATAAAATGAACATGACATACTTTAGTATAACCAAGATTTAGTGAAAACCTCAATTTAGTGTATGAAAAGCTGTTCCTCTTAGAGAGTCATTAAATACATATTTCTATGTACATATTGTTTCACACTGCATTAATTTCTTATTAACATGCATGGTCATGTATACCAAACATGTTTTTATATATGTCTCTATACTATGTCAGTGATGTCATTTTTTTCTTTTATTACAGGTTTCATTGGAATGCTACAAGGGGATGGGAGTAGAGGATCATGGGATGCTGTTATGAGTGAAGTATCAGTCAGCAGGGGAGCTGAATGTGGAGACCTCAATCGATGCTCAGACTGTTACAAACTTTACTCAAGCAAGGGTGCTCTTCGACGACACAGACGCTATGAATGTGGAGTGGAACCTCGTTTCAAGTGTGATTTGTGCAGTCGCCGCTTCACTCATAACTTTAACTTGAAAAGTCATCTCATTTGGCATGTGAGACGTTCAAGTGTAGAATAAATATGCAATTAGATAGATCAGTAGGAAGTGGAAAACTTCCATGAAACTACTCAAATTTCTGTAGAGAACATACTCTTGGTGTTACGCTGCCACCATCTTCAGGACTGAAATATTTAGGGAGAAATCAATTGGATTGTGTAGTCAAGTTACAAGGAAGGATGGTCATTCAGATCCAACAGAAGGGATGAGGACATTGAACATGGGCTGGGCCAACAAGAAAACAGCGTGAAAAGGGACACTTTCCATAGAGTCTGTCTATACCACCAAATTTCTGACCTTACACACTACAACTCTGAAGATGGTGGCAACATGTTGCTCCAAAACATTAGTATCCTCATACAGTACTATGACTTAAACTCCGTGGTTTTTATTCCACAAGCAAATTATACTGACCAAGCAACCGACAATTGTCGGCGAAGTTAGTGCCAACTTTTATGGATAGAGGGTGTTGCATGGTCAGTGCAATGGATTCCCGTGGCCATTAATCTTGGTTTTCTAGACCGACAGTACTATGTCTTAGGCAGTAAAAATTGGATGTCGTCCTTATCATGTTGTGCTGACTGATAATGCATGTTCAGTTCACAGCTGTATCATCAGAAAAACCTGCTACTCTACTCACAAACAAACAAAAAGAAAACGAAAAACTCTGTGGTTTCAGTCTGGAAGCAAACTATACCAACCAAGCGACTGCCACTTGTCAGCGAAATTAGTGTGCTCACAGCCATGATAAGTTGTTACATTTAAGGACAAGAGTACAATTATGTAAAGAGGTATCACATTGGTAAGCATAACCATTGTATTTATGTTACTAAGTACAAAGTCATTGGACATGAAACCCACTATCATATCAAATACTATTTTGTGTAGATTGGTAAATGCTTAGGCTATGACTGATTCCTTGTTAGTTATGTGATCCCTTTCTCTAACCTCAAATTAGTTCTTGTATTACTCAGTTTAAAGCTAACACTGTTTGGCAGATTTGGGCTAATTGACCACAGAACATTGTTGCAGAAAATGGTCAGAAATGAATTCATTCTCAAAATTAGTGACTTTCATGAGTCTGTGTACTCTTATCCCAGACTGGTCAAGTAGCTTCAAACTGGCTACAAAAATTGAGTGTCTTTCTTTAAGTCCATTTCTGCACTTCTCCAAAAATTTGTCAACCAACAGCCCTTCACATCTTTTTCATTAGTACATAAAATGTGCTGTACTTATTACTACTTAGTTGTAATAACATATTATTGTATTAATTATATTAAATAAACTTTGTTTATCAAGAAATATGTATATAAATTCTTCTCCAAGTTCCTCAGACTCCAGTTTTCTGGATCCTTAAGTTTACTGAACATGGATCCTCCAAAGTGTTGGTAACCCTGACAGCCCTGTAGATTTGAATGTGTTCATGGTTAGTGGCGCACACACTTCAAGCTCATTCTCAGGTTCTCACCAGGTGCTCACTGGTGAGCATTTCATTGCTAACACACACTGCAGCTCTAACAGTCCCTTTATTCAACAAATTAACATTGTGTACTTTTTCTTAGTAATCACTGTCCTTTATAAACTTACCAAAAAGAAAGTGTAAGGGACAAAAATCTGTAGAACAAGTGCCAAAGGAATTGGGCCGGCTCTTCCTGTACAAGAATGAGGAATCTTCCTGTTTGGAAAGGCATGAACATGATAAGAGAAGTTTTTGCTGCACCATCTAACTGAAAAATTGTTCTGCAGGAATGTGACACCAAGCAGTCTTCTCCCTCATAACTAGGAACTTTTCACCAATGACAATAAGTTCTTCAATAAAAAGGAAGGACTGATAATGTCTTTCATAGCAGAGTGCCACACATCAATTTCTGGTGAATAATACCCACGTTAAATGTAACTTCACGAGGATTTTTACTTCCTGAGACATGACAGTCTTGCATGTTGACTATTCTATGCACACAAAATGTTGCTAAATCAGAAGACAATAAATCTGTTGAAGGAGGACTCATCCTCTTCAGTGTGGGAAAGCATTTCTAAAGCAGGATGTTTTCACAAATCCTGATCCATATGTGTTATCTTCTGGACTAACTGAAGCCTGTAAGCACACAATATTAGTCTGCTGTGCAAAACGTCATGCACAGTTGAGTGAGACAGGCCTAATTGGCCTAATTATCAACTTGCTCAGTGAAAAGATTTGTGAGGGTTCATGTGAAATATTTCACATATGCATCGGATATTGTCCTGGGACAGCATACAACGTGGAGGCTCATTTTAGTACAAGACCTCCCTGCCTTTCCCAGATGCTCATACCAACACATCACAGGTTTTGAAATTTATGCTGCTTGCTTTGGATAAACCTCATTAAACTGCATCAAATATAGGTGTATGGTTTCACTCTTCCAACTACAGAATTCAGTCAACTTTCTGCCACATGGAATACATCTTCTCTTCAACTAAAGCAAAACAAGACAGGACAAAGCCGCTCTGCATGCAGGTACACGAGGAAGGTGACTTGATGATGAAGCTAAGTCTCCCCCCACCAAAAAGTAAGTAACCATAGTGCATGAAAATTTTTGCAGCTTAATGACTGCTTTCATTTAGCATATGTAATATTTTATTTTATTGTCATGTAGGGGCATACAACCTGTGTTTCATTGCATGTTTTGATAAGGCTATATTTAAACCTTTGTTTGGTGTGCTGGGCTTGTAAATTCCATTCTTATGTGACAGATCATTTCCACAAAGAATTTATAATCAATTTCTTAACTTGTATGAATGAAATCTAATTGGGACGTTAAAAAAAATTGTCATGTGTAATGAACGTCCGATTTTCAAGTTCTCATAATTCATATACTATTCTAGAGATGGTAACATTATGAAAATAACAACTGACACTCTTAGCAGGAAGTCTTGCCAAGGCTAAGAAGCAGCCAACCAAGCATTTGCATGATTTCCTACCAGAACCAGGAAGGATTTAAATCTCAACCTGCTTGTTCAGTTCTGTTTGTGAATATGTATTTACCTAAAGCTATGTATTTGTTTCATTCCAGACTTCATCCGAATGCTACAAGCTGGAGCAAACAGAGTATCTTTGGATACCTTACTAGGTACTGAAACAATAAGAACCGAACAGGAGAAACTTCTTAACCAATGTTCATGCTGTCACAAGGTCTATTCAACAAAGAGTGCGCTTCTCCGTCACATGCGTTATGAATGTGGGGTCGAGCGTCGCTTCAAATGTCATGTCTGTAGTCGTCTTTTCCGACACAAGCATCACCTGCAATACCATCTTAATTTACACACTAAATATAATGAAGGACAGAATATACAGTGGGAAGATAGACTGCTACATCCTTTGTAAGACATAATTGGAGCAGGGATGGAAATAGTTTTTAAAATTGGGTAGACACTGCAGGTCAGTAGTCAAGTCAGAGTGAATGGCAGATGCATATTGTAAAGGAATTTATGACAAAGTTGGTTTAGGAATTTATTCCTATATATATTGTTGGGAGCAATAGTTATGATGTGTTTACTCACACAAAAGAATGTTGTTAAAAAATGCACTCTGATGCTAACTAGATGGTGTCTCCCCACATCTTCACCCATTTGCATGCCTGAAAGAGATGCAATATGATGTGTTCTGGTTGTCATTTGCACACATATGTGATTTAATTGCAAATTATTAAAGTTGTGTTTCTGCCAACGCCTCCATTGGAGCTGTAACTTAAAGACACTTTCATATAAGCTTCTTTTGTTATGTCAGATGCAGTGTGATCAAAAAGTCATGTAATACATGATAAATACAGCGATGTTTCATGTTAGTTTAATTCAACCATTGTTTTTCATAAAATTACAATATTCAGTGATTCTGTAAAGGTTTGTGACAATGTATAATTCATTTTAATGAATATAACGTTGAGCATCATCTGTTGTGTGGGGTATATTTTATACATGCACTGTTTCACAGACAGACTCTCTTTCTGTCATCAGATGTAAAGGGGAAAAGATATGCATTGCCTTTCATAAAGACAGTTTATATTTTTTTTTTTGTCAGAGTAATTTATCAGTAGTTAAATTGCATAAGTGTCACTCCATATTATATTAAAATCAACTTCTAATTTCTCAGTATTATTCAGTTTTCCAACAGATATATAGCTCATTATGTACATGTATTAGTAGATCAAATAGAACATTTAATAACCTTAATTGGATGATTTATCATTACAATCAAAAGATTTACTGTAATAGTAGATGCAATGGATTGGTTATTAGTGGATTATGTAAAGTTAAGAGCTGTCAGTTAACGTTTACAGATATCCATTTCATCTCATTGTTTGTATGATGCATGTTTTGTGGGCTATACTATGAATCCATCAGTATCTAATGATGTATATTGTTGAATGATAAGATGCTTGATGAATTGGAAAGTATTTGCAATGTTGTGGTCTATTCAAAATACTGTCCTGGCATTTTCCTGGGTTGGCTGAACAAAACCACAGGAAATCTCAGTTGTGAGAACTGGTGCCCTGTACTCGCTTTGAACCCAGTGCTTCCTAGATATCGGTCTGGAGTGTTACTGCTACAGGAACCCACTCAATTTCTGGTGTGTGATTGAGGGTGTTACCCTCAGACACAGTTTTATATATACACATGCACAGTAGATATGCTTATTGACCAAGCAAGTAAGAATAATAAAATATAGCAATAACTGAAAATCTCACAGTTGTATTTATTTTTCTCAGAACTGATGATGTGTACTGATGCAGGTTGGTGCTTTACTACTCATAAACTCATGCAATTTATATGATGTATTACATCTTGGTGTCATTGTATGCCATTATAATGTGGACATATTTTTTAGAATAGGTTTTATTCCCAGCTTCATGTGAATGGTTACCATTTCATTTGCATATTTTTATTTATGGATTTATTTTGATATTTTAAATCAAAGGGCTCCAAGTTTTGCTGTGAACCCTGCCACTCTTGCCAAATATGAGAAAAGAATTGACTGGAGAAAACATTTTCTTGCATTGGGATTTTCATTTATTCACTTTAATCCCCAGCAACACTTACCATTTGCCACTGTATTCCTATCAAACAACATGCTTGGTGATGAGTATTTCTATGTACTCAGGATGCCCCATGTTGAGATCTTGTCACAAAGACCAGTTGTCATAACTGACATTTTTATATGAGATTTAAGGTTCTTGTAGCAGTGACCTACTGTCTTCCAGAGTGTGACACCATGTATGTCATACATATTTGTATCGACATCCATCTTCAGGGTAGAAGAGTAAGCTGTGTGGGAGAGAATGGTCAGTGACATATGAAACTAAGGATAATGGATGAAGGTAAGAGTGAGTCTATGTACAAGTGCAGCCTTTGTCTGGATGGCAGGGATTTTTTATGCCCCTGCCACTGATTCACTCTTAACCCAATTTTTTATCTGGCCTTCTGTGTGTCACTGACAATTTTCTCCTGCATGGATGACTCTTCTACCCAGAAGCAGCAGCAGGTTCCTCAGAACGTTGGTACATATCTACCTGCTACATGACTCAAACAGGCAATGGGTTTTATATCAGGACCCTTGGCCAGAAGAACGAAGAATCTGTTGAGATTAAACAGAGATCAACTAAGGTGGGTGGTAGGATTACTTACTGGACACCTGGACACCTGAAAGGACACCTTTTCAAGTTTGTACTGACAGATAACCCAACTTGTGAAAGGTGCCTAAAGGAAAACGAATCAGCCCCACATATCCTGTGTGATTGTGAGGCCATAGATTATTTAAGATTTTGTCACTTGGATCAGTTTTTTATGGAACCAAGTGATTTTCATGGTGCCCCATAAGCAGGGTCCTACACTTTATTAAAATTGTAGGATTAATAAAGGGCTAATCCAAGGGAAAGCACAATAAATCATTGAAGGTCGCAGTGCAGGGGCCGGTTTTTATGGCTCACTCCTTACATACATACATACCAGCTACACACTGTCACACCCCAGAAGACAGTAAAGTTTGTGTCTCCATAATTTTCTTTTGTTCCTTGCAGCAAATTCCGGAGCATAACCTTAAAACAGAGCATGATCATCTCCTTCCATACCCTTCCCCATCTGTAATATAATGATTTCATCAGAGACTAAATAATTTGCTCAGTTGAGAAATCGTTGTTAAATAAAGCAATATATAACTTTAATTCCTGTACTTACATTACTTGCATCTTTTTACTGGTAAGTGCCCTGAGCGTACTATCATACTTCAGTCAGATCGTAAGAATCCCCATTTGAGGTTTCTTTTGGGAACTGTGCGTTTGAACAGTGAAGAAATTCTTAAATGGAAGCGATATATCCCTAAGGTTATTGACTTAACAGAGCATTAATGGGGAAAAACTTTATAAATATATAAACGTTAAATGTGAATTCCATTGTATTTTATACTGAGAAAAAAATATATCCCTGTTTATTATTTTGTTTACAGTTGCATAATTGTTTTATTTCAGAATTCATCTTTATGCTGCAAGATGAACAAAGAAGCACATGGAATACTGTACTGACAGGTGCCACACATGGTAAAAGTCCATATCAGTGTTCAGTCTGTCATAAGAAGTACTCAAGCAAAGGCGCTCTCCAACGGCATGTACGTTATGAGTGTGGAGTTGAACCTCAGTTCAGGTGTCACCTGTGTAATCGTCGCTTCTGTCACAACTATCACCTCAAAACCCATCTCAGTTTGCATGAGAGACATTCAGGTTTTCAATAAAATTATAAACTGTTTTACAGACTGCAATAACCCTTTAGAACACTGAATGCACAATTGTGAGTGTCGTGGCATATATTTTCTGCCACATCATAACATTTCACTCTGCATTCACAACAGATCTCCGTCTCTGATAACTGTTTCTTGGTGTTAATTTCTGTTAGAAGAAAGTGCTACAGCTGAAGAAGAAGCAGAAGAAAAATCAAAACAAAATATTTTAATATTTATAGGCAAGGCCAGATTTACAGTTGTGAGGGCCCCAGGGTAGTCACATGTGAAGGCCCCTGTCAGTAGCAACAAATTTAGATTATGACTTTTTTTTTGTATTTTCTATAATAAGGAAAAATGCAAATTAACTTTGTTATTTTATGGAAACAAATAAAGCAATGAAATATGTGAATTATATTTCTGTCTTGTGGAGGTTCCAGGGAAACTGTTCTGGCCGCTCACCTTTAAAGGTGGCCCTGTTTATATGTCAGCTGTATTTATTTATTATATAACATAAACAAGTCTAACTTTATTTTCTCTCCTATACCTCAATACAAAAAGCTCCACTGAAGAAGCCAGAATAGTGTATATGCAGTAATTATAATAGTAGAATTTATGTTTTGTTGAAATATGTTTTTAGATAATAAAAATTATTCATGTTAATACAAGCAGAAAAAATATAAATATTCTTTATCTACATTTTTATTTTATGGACTTGCAAACACCAGCTGGAAACTTGGTACTGCATCTTTGCTCCATCTTCTTAATAAAAGTGAGTGGTTATAAATGTTAATAATGTTTAGATATTTGTAAGGTTTGAGGTTCTGGCAGTGGTTGCTGTGAAGACTGCTGTCTTCTGGGTTGACACCATGCAGTGTGGTGGCTTGTTAACATTATTTTGGAGGAAGCTAGTGCCTTCATCTTCAGGGTAGTCACCATCATTAGAACCCCAAATCTCACATAATAACCCTTTATTGGAAGGCTGCTGTGTGTACTCTTCTACCCTGAAGATGGACGCAGTAGGTTTTCTCCAAAATGTTCTTAACAACCTACCAGACTACATGGCATCAAGTCCCAGAAATCATTAATCATTTTTCAGAATTTTGTTCATGAAACTTTCTTGCAGGCCTTACTTTAAATTTCAGCAAGACACACACAAACATAGACTGCTGAAAGTTGCCAGTAAATAGAAGAAATTATTTTGAAATTTATGTGAACTCTCTACAAGGAAATAAGACTTCATGTAATTATGTAATTGATAAGCCATAAAGTATTGAAATATACAAATGAAGGTTTAAGGTCTGCAGTCACATATTTGTATGACTTTGTAAAGGAACAAGTCACATGACCCCAAATGTCTTTTTCTTTAACCTTTTTGCTCCTCCTTTAACTTAACCCCTACACTCTATAACCAACCAACTGCCAAGTCAGAAATGAAGACCCAAAAACGTAAAGGTTGAAGATGTGATAATGTGCTGCTTGGTCAGGTCTATTGCACACCTCAGAGATTAGTGATAGATGTGTATGAAGCAATAATGGAATGGTGATTAGCAAGGGAAAATTGTAGAACCTCGGATTCCTGGTCCAGTGCCACTTCATCCACCATGATTCTCATATGAAATCATGTGGGGTTGAACACATCACTCCTTGGTGAAAAGTTGGCGTCTGATCACTCATGCTGATGAAGTAATATCACATGTTTCCAGCTAGCTTTATTTATTAAAACTGTAATATATAAAGGGCATCCAAATTAACTGATCTGATAGCATCACGTTGCACTAATGTTTAGATGGTGCAGGAAAGGGTTTAAGATATTAAGATATTTTATTTATACAATGTTTTTCAAACTTCTGCAGCTTTTTTTTCTTTATATGCTGAAGTTTGGTTATCTACATAATGCAATTAGACCCATCTCCAAATATGCTCTTTTCTGGACTGTTGTTTTTTTTATCACATTAGTACTGAATACATTGTTCTCTCCAAAGACAAAGTAATTACTTCATCTTGAGGTGATTCCTCTATGTGGGCCCTCAAAAAAAGGCCGCTGTTTTTTTACTTTCCATCTGCAGTGGCCTAGAAAGAGCTGTCAGTTCATTCTTCCTATTGGCCCAAAACAGGTTCTGTCATCCCCTGCCCCCCAGCAGATCTGAGTTAACACCTTCCATGCAAACTGCCTGTATAACCTGACTTCATCTATAGTCACTTTGACTCTGAATGTTCCTCTGAAATGGTAACCACCTTCAACACTATCACAGTGTCAGAGCCCACAGGATCACAGGCTGAACACCCATGTTGTATGTTATTTGAACGTTTGAATTTTCATGCTTGTTCAAAGTATGTAAACTGGAGAGGTAGTAAATCTTTTTTTTTCTTGCATGCAGAATCAAGAGAATAACAGGAAAATAATAATGTTTTAGGTGTACTTATTAAAAAGTTTTGTCTGAAATGTGTGTCAGTGCTTACTGTAATGTAATGTAATATAAGGTAATGAAACAAATTTCAGAACTACCTGTAACTTAACACATGGAGCAGAGTCCTTCTTGAGAATCTAACGGTCACTCATCTTATCAAGAAATGACCTGCCCTTCACACAACTAACACGTTCATTACAGTGCTGACTAAAGCTCCCACCGTGCTATGTGTCCCACCAAGCTCATCTGTCTGTGTTTGGTTGCCCTCATAATATTTGGTGAAGAGTATAAATTATGAAGGGTCTTGTCTGGTGAGGGCAGTTAAATAGATTTTTTACTGTAAACAATGCCTAAAAAGGCATCAAAGGACAGTAATATGATAGTTTTTATATTATCCAACAGTATTCTACACCATCTTATGGCAATTAATTTTTTAATCCTAGCAAGACAGAAGTACAGTTCGGTGTATGCATTGTGTTGATGGCTTGTACTTGTTGCACTTTATTCATTCTGGAAAACTTCATTGTCTTGGTATGTTTGGGAGGGTTAAGTGTAACTTTGTCCCCCCCCCTCACCCCATACCAAACTACTGCAGTGCTCAAAACTCATCATGTAGCAAGAAGTTTACGTGACATGATAGTGGGGTTCCAGAATTGACATCTGTACACTGTAAGTCTAAAAGGATTACCTCCCAGTGTTACTGAACGAAAAATGTGTTAAGATAAACTTAAAAGAATTGTCATAAAATGAGTCAATTGATAAATAAAAAGAAAGTAATGGAACAGAAGTAAACAACAACAAAATGAGGGGCAATTGAACTGGCATAATACTGAAATCATAATATTATATTTCCAGAACTTAATTTTATATTTACCTTTTTCTGCAACTCTAAAACAGCCGTTTGTTTCCTGAGATGTATGGTAATGGATGAATGTGAATAAGAGTCATTGAATATTTGAGTCAGTACCAGACTTTATAGATTAACACAGGTGCTGAGAAAACATATGTCCATCACCTGAAGTGCATCATCCATATGCAGCATTTCAAGAGTTGGTTCTACTTCCTCTTCAGGTTCTTATTGTACTGATAAATTTATTTTGTGTTTTAAGATAAGCGACAGTAGTTGATATCAGTCTTGGATCCTTCTGAATACAAACCACTAGGCCAGTTGTCTGCGGACAGGAGAAGAGACAACCTCCTAGGCATCACACATATATTGCATACCTCAGAGAGTGTTCAACATGACAATGGTGTAGTGCATGAACTAGTGTCACAGAAATATAGAGAAGCTGCACTTTTCATTCATTCATTCATTTATTTGCATTCTGTTAATCCATACAAGGTCAAACCAACCTATGGGATATAGAACCTGTCAAGATACAAATATAATATAAACATAAAATAATGATATATACATACATTCATAATGAGCACAATAAGGACATAAAGTAAAACACAGTATTGCATAACAGCAGTGTCACAAAACACATTTTGATCAAAGACACAAAGCAAAACACAGTATTGCACAACAGTGTCACAAAACACAGTTTGAGCAAATACACAAGATAATAGTGAAGACAATGAAGCATGAATGAATTGAACTTACAGTGGGAAGACCTCCCACAACTAATCATTGTCCATTGCATAGATTTCAAGGGCTATGCTTCTGTACATCTTCCTAATATGATGCTCAGGGTTTTAATAAACACAATTCTGTGCCTAAAAAGCTAATAGAAATCTTTGATATTAGAAAAATGTAAACACTAATAAAATCTTTAACATTCTGAAGTATTGCAAATTCTATGGTATTGTTACATTTTCTGTGGCATGGAAATGAAATAAGTATCACCCATTCTCTGCAAAATCTTTTCTTTCTTGTAAGACCCATGTGTGTTTTGTTTCATAGGTAATACAATCAGAGGTGTAACTGAGGCAAAGACACGACTTCTACCAGGAATACCAGCTACGTCTGCTGCTGTTAAGAACATGATATCAAAGAGACAGCGTTCAAACGATATTACTGAACTGCTCTCTGGAGGAACAGGAAATGGGCCTCCATTTCCGTGTCATCAGTGTGAACGCATGTACTCCCATAAGTGCAACCTCATGCGTCATTTGCGTCTTGAGTGTGGTGTTGGTCCACGATTTGCCTGTGGTCTGTGTGAGAAGAAATTTAAACATCGACATCACCTACGTGACCATGAGCGCACACACGTGCACCTCCAGTTGCCACAACATTCCTTATAGTCATACAAGGTAAAGCAGTGCAACCAAGTACAGGTACTCAGTTCCCACAATAATGAGCGTTCATAACTACGTGTATACAGAAGCTCTGAAAACAGTGTATTAGACCTCTACAATATACCAACTGAACACATCAGCCATGTAATGGTGTTTCCTAGGACTGATATGTAATATCATATTCGTCAGAGAGCAGAATTCAGACTGAAAGAACCGAACATTGAGAATATCTGTAATAATTTAAACAGATCGGAATATTACAGCTCAGGAAACAGTTATGTTTCACATGTTATGTAAATGCAAATTTAAAGTTTTTTTAATGAACATGCTGCCTCCACGATAGAATATGTGTGGCACAGTGCAAATGAATAATACAGTGGTGTGTACATAGGTCGTTGCTCTGAAATATACCGGGCTTTATACAAATAATGGCGGGAAATATGGAGTTTCAAGGGAAGCTGGTAGATGGCAGTAATAATGTTTACTGCTGAAAAAGTAGTATCGAATACAGGAGCGATATGCTTCATATTAATTGGAAATAATTATGACCATGTCAGAACTAAATAGACGTTCAGGCATCAGTTGCAAAGCCTGGGGATTGACGAACGCGTATTGTAAAGGAAATTGTATTACATCTATTTTCTGTCGGTAACTTTAACGGATTCGTTAGCTGCCTTAAAAGAAAGCATCGGAACCAGGTCAAACAAGATAGATGGCGCCTATCTGAAGTAATACTAACGTAATGGAAGGAAATTAAATTGAGGTGACTCGAGCTGTAACACTTGTAACATATGTTGGAGCTGTTCGGATCTGGGCCGTGACACAAACCACTCTGGCTGAGGCTTTTCATGGTTTTCCTCAGACCATCCACGCAAATTCTGGAATAGTACTTCCAACTAGGCCATAGCCCCTTTTTTCCACGTCGTTTCCAATTCATTGTTCACTTAATTACCATACTTTTTGACACTATATAGTCTGAAGTGCTAGCAGCGTCAGTAAATAAATACATCATGTAATGATATACAAAAGTCCCAACTAACGCATTGATCTCAATTAACCTAATAAAAACTAAATTCGCCTAACCAAATGTTCACTTAAATCAAGTGTGGTGAATTTTTTGTACTATATGAAACATCTAACTTAAGGCCTAACCAAATGAAACAACCACTGAACCCAACTTTCACCAAAACTTAAATTTCGGAATGCATAACCAAATTTCGCGCCACCCAGACATGCCACAGCCAGGTGATAATTTTGTTTCAGTATGCATCCATAACCTGTATAAGCTAGATGCTGATAATGAAAAAAGTTTGGACCAATATTAAAAATACATATATAAAATAAAATTTTTCGTGGCCACGTTCAGGTCAAAATAATACAGTCATGTGACTGGACGCTTAAAAAGTACTAATAACAAATATGTTAATGGTGCATGGAACATGATGATGATGGAGGAACAAGAAACAAAATGGTTACAACTGAAATCAGATTTTCCCAAGAACATCAAATCTGATAAATTTTTTATGTCAATTGTAAAAAAAAAAAACAATGACTGCTTGAATAGGATAAACTGTTTTCATGCTGAGTTCCATTTTATTAGAAATACACGCTTCTGTTTCATATTTTCCTGGTAACTTATGTATGAGACTGTTCAAAGTAAACAGCATAAAGCATCAACAAATAGCAAAATTTTTTAACCCTCATCAGAATTTTACAGAATATATGAGGATGGAATTCAGTGTCACAACATGGATAGCTAACAATTTTTAAATTCACTAGCCTTCAGAGCCTCTTCCACATTGATGCACGGTAAAATGTAACACTCATGCTCTGCATGTATCAGAGTGTTCCTTGTCCAGTATAAGAAATTCTGTTGCCTTCATTCTCATGTACCATTCCATGCACATTTGATGTGTTCACTGGCTGTAATTGATAACTGTCAGTTAATTATACTCAACAAAGCTTTAAAATTCATAAGACTCTTGTAATAATGAATAGTGCCAAAAAAGTGTAAAGAATATGTTTTGCAAATTGAGTTAAGGAAGTTGTTTACTACTGCAAATATAAACAAATTTAGACAATTGTGTTTCCTATTATATAATGAGGACTGTCTCATAGAGTTACAGAAAAAGATAATTGAACAATCAATACAAATCATTAACCCTTCTGCTGCACCATATGAATTCACTGTAGCCTGTTTCTCTCAGACCATATAATTTAAATGTGCTCTATATTATGTATTTTGTTATTTTAAGCATGCAAGGAATATTGAAATTTATTAAATTATCCTGCATTGGGCACAGAAGGGGTTAGTATCCTCAGTGATTTAATTACTTGAGGATTAGGTTGTATTTATTTTATGTGCTTCTTTTGCCTTAAATACTGTGAATGATGGATTCTATATATATTGAACAGAGTTTGTGTCCAGGTTTTCCTAATATTCCTAACTGGTGCAGCCCACGGTGTGTGCATACTTCACAGAATGAATTCAAAAGGTAAGAATTTGCAGAAGCATTTTTGTACTCTGTGGCTTTAGTCATGCCTGGCCTCACACTCCACTTGACACTGGGATATGTTTTCTCCAACATCTACATGTTAGATTTTCCTAAAATGACTGAAAGACTCTGGACATGACATAACACTGTACCAGCATTCAGACATGATAATTGATATATCATGATTTACTGTGCCACAAGAGGAAGACTGAAATTATATGAAATGCTACAAGATCTGTTTCAACTTAAATGTTCACACTCTGGAACTGCATGTTGTCAGCAGAAGGTGTTTTACCACATCACCTCTCAGAGTGCCAGTTGTTGAAGTAAGAGCTAATCTAGTCACAATATTTGAAGTAAATATAAGTTCTGTTAATAATCAACATTCTGTTATGTATTGTAAGTACTGTTATGTGTTACTAAGCCAATCTTTTCCTGCATGTGATAGCAATCTAAGGAAGAAATAATTGAAAGTCAAGAAAAACATAATAGTATTAATGAAAGATAAAATTAAATCTTAAGATCTATAGTTAAATAATCAGCCAGCCCACAGAAATATGATACCTAAGCAGCTGATAGTTACTGAACTAGTCAAGAAACTTTGTTGTTTAGAAAATTGAGGGTTTGTCATCAGTGTTCTATAAGCCTGCTATTGGAGCCTGTCCTGAGCCAGTTAAACCAATTTCTGTCAATATCCATTTAAATGTTATCTTCCTGTCTGTCTCCCAAGTGATCTGTCTCCAGTCAAAGTTTCCTGTACATTTCCTCTCTGTCATCTTTGCCAAATGTCTTGCCAATCTCTACACCCTAACAACACTGTATAAATATCGCATACTTCATATTTCAGAGTCTGAATGTTTGTCCTAAATATTATATCAAGCCTGCATTCATAAAGTCAGATTTTTAAGACACAGTTACACTTCCATGGACACCACTAGGATATTTGGGGGGGGGGGGCAGCCAGGAAATTGGCTTACACACTCACTTTTAGCCATGCAAGATTGTTTTTACTGAACATTCTGCAGCATTCAAAATATAATATACTTTTTGACTTCTTTATAATTTCTGTTATTAATATTTTGTATATTTCCTTATTTTCCTTTCAATTTTAATTTTCCCCCCCCCAAAATCCCCGTGGGGCAGATGCCTGGCTTCTTCCCCAGCCTGTGCCTGTGTACGCTTATGATATAACTTTATTTTCCCTGCATGGGACTCTTTTTATAGGAATCATATGCATACCATTCACATGATAAACTGTTGCATTTTTTAGCACTACAGCCTTTATCTGCAGGTTCCTCTGGCTCAGGGTAGGGACTAGTGCTGGGGAACTACTTGGTTAGCTAAGCAACTGTAAGCTTCTTGTGGAGAACTTCGCTCTGTGTAATTAATTAGTTATCCCACAGTGGTTTTGACTATGCCTGCTGGCAACCCTCTAAGATATGACAGATATTTGTATCCAGAACGGAAAATGTTGTCTTAGTGTGACTTTGAAAATGTGTCTCGTTCACTGTTGCTCAATTCTTAATGTTGTGGTTTTGCTCATCTGTCATGTAGTACTTTGTATTATTGCTGTTTAGGATAGTTCATAGACATGTAGTTTAAGATAGGTTAAGTGTTAAACAGAGAGTTCAAAATGAGTTTTTGTACAAAAATCATTGTGTCCTAGGTGTGCTGTTCATCATATACCTCACTCTGAATATTTGAGGGCTTATTGAATAATTTTCCAAGACTGTAAACTCACTGCAGAAAAATTCAGTACTTTGTTGTTGAATACAATGATGGTGTAATTAATTTTCTGCGCTGTATCTATTGAAGTTATAATTGTGGGGAAGGTACTCAGAGTATATTTTTAGCTTTATTAATTTTTATCATGACTCATTTTTATTGAATGTCCCAGATTTTTAGAGGAAAAACGGAAATGTCCCATTTTTTTAAATATATTATGGGAACCCTAAAGTAAGGCAATTTTTAGGCAGTGGTGGGCCCCAGGTGAAGTATGATCTGTGGCACCCCTGTACCTACACATAATACAAAGTTACAACTCAGAGTCTTCCCCACTGAACTGAGAATATTTCTGACATCTGCCACCAGAAGATGTTGCAAGATAGTATGGGTTATTATTGTATGACATATTTAAATATGGTGCCAATATAACCTTTATAGCAGTCAAATCACAGCCCATGTACAGTACTTATATAGTGTTTTTATTATTATAAATTCAATGTCATGGGCCAAATTACCTTAACCTCCCACTGTATCCTCCATTACACAAATTAGTTATGTATTTCTGTCCATTATTTTCACTAATATAGTTTCCTATAACCTCTAAATTTTCAGACATCATCTCGAATTTTAACATATACAAAAAGAAATGATACATACATAATTTGTATGTATGTTTATGATGTCCCTCCATATCATATTTAATGTGCGTTACTTCAGTGTTCAAAACCCAAAGCTGAATGTAGAATTTTAGCATTTTCCATGTTATGTAAATAATCACATTAATCA